ATATATATATATATTTGTGTCTATTCACCTTGTTTGCTAGAATTATTCATCTGTTTTTTGATTTATTCGTGTACCTGTGTGTGTGTAGCATTTCCGCACCGCTGTACTGTATCACACAGGTCCTCGGACTTGTGTCAGTTGTTTCAGATCCAACTCTGCTGTTGCCGCACGAGATGTCGAGCAGTCAGGGTGTCGGGCAGAAACAGCAACTACAACAACAGCAGCAACAGGCTAATGTGCCGACAACGGAACCGGCGGAAGAATCTCTGCATCCGTCACAGCCGCCGGAACAGCAGCCACCCGCATCACCAAGGCGGAGAAGTGTAGAGCATGCACATTTGCAGCAAGATGACCCCTTTGGGCATCCAGGACTCGCGTTATCGCGTGACNGCGGAGAAGTGTAGAGCATGCACATTTGCAGCAAGATGACCCCTTTGGGCATCCAGGACTCGCGTTATCGCGTGACATACTGCTGCTTTATAAGCTCATTAACCGAAAGTATAGCGAGGAGCGACGTCTCCGACAGCCTGGGCCAAAGTATAACGACGGCTATGACGATAGACATGGGCACTACGTCGCCTACGTTGGTGAAGAGATATGGGGGAGGTACACAGTGCAGGGCGTGCTGGGTCGTGGAAGCTTCGGTACAGTGCTGAAGTGTTTTGACGAGAAGCACCAGGAGCAGGTCGCAGCAAAGGTAATTCGCAACGGCGACTATTTTTACGATCAGGGACTCATAGAGGTAAACATTGTGGCGAGACTGAATAAACTCCCCGCCCTCGAGCATCTCGTTGTGCGTCTTGGAAAGGTCTTTGTGTGGAAGAGTCACTTGGTGCTGGTGTTTGAGATGCTAAGCATGAATCTATTCCAGCTGATTCAGCGCACAAATTACAATGGTGTTAGTTTGAATTTGACTAGAAAGTTTGCATACCAGCTGGTTCTTGTGCTGAAACAACTGGAGGAGCATGACCCACCTATTATTCACTGTGATGTAAAGCCAGAAAACGTAGTGCTGCGCGACCCAAGTCGAAGCTCCATTCGCCTGATCGACTTTGGCAGCGCGTGCTGCATGCAGCAGGGGGCAAAGATGTATAAGTACGTTCAGTCCCGGTTCTACCGCAGTGCGGAGGTTATTCTAGAGCTTGGCTATGATACCGCCATTGACCGCTGGTCGCTTGGTTGCATGTTGGTGGAGCTGCATACCGGCATTCCACTTTTTGCTGGTAAAAACGAGATGGACCAACTAGCCCGTTTCACCGGCGTGCTCGGACCGTTGCCTGACGACATGATAGAGCGGAGCAACAAGAAGGATCTTTTCTTTTACGACATGGGGCAGGCACAACAGGAATCCTATGTGCGGCCCTTAGCGGCACGTGGGGGAAGTCCGCCGTTGTTGGGTCACGGCCAGCAGCAAGACCTCGCCGCCTCGCCGTCGCCTGTGATCGCAGCGGAGGTGCTGAACAGTCTGTCAGCCACCTCATCCATCTCCGCTGTTACTGCGGCGTCAGCAGTCACAGGGGGGACGTACTCCACGCCTGCACCTGCATCAACAGCGCCACAACCTTCGCTGCCACCAGCACCACCGACGGTCTCTGAGGCACGGCAATCACACAGGAACTTCGCGATCACACCGAGCGGCAGCGTAGGCGTTACTTGCCCTAGCAACCACAACAATAATAACACGGTTGTCGCCGTACCAGCTCTGCGTCGACCAATGACGGCTGTCACGATGGAACCGTCCTCCAAGAAGGGTGGAATAGGCGGCAAGGTTGGAGGAGGAGGAGGAGGTTTCTCCTCTGTAGGTTCGAGAACAGCAAGTAGCAGGCCCGCTACGTCTATACGGAAGTCACAGAAGGCCCATGTAAACGTCATCACTCCAGCAGACAGTCCCACTACCACCACCACCACAACAACAACAACAACAATTGTCGTACCTCCTGTGGTTACGCCGTCGTCACTGGCCTCGGGAGGTCTGCGACAGTCAGCGCTTACGCCGAAACCACGGTTGACCACCAGTAATCACCTCCTCGTGCACGGTGATGGGACTCCGTCTTCCTCTTCGAAGATTAGCCGTGCAGGTTTGCAGCATCCGCAACAGCAACAACAACAACAACAGATGGGTGCTTTGCCTTCCAAGAGCCCCTTCCTTTTGCGTGTGCAGCCGACCCCCGACCAGTGTCAAAGCCTTGAGGAGATCATTGGTGTCTATTCAGGCGGACCAAGGGGCTGCCGCCGTGGGCAACCGGGTCACGACGTGGAGGACTACAAAGTGTTCTTAGACTTCATCCAGCGGCTGCTCTGCTACGACCCGCGAAAGCGCATGAGCTGTACAGAGGCCCTGCAGCATCCTTTCCTGGCCGAATTGGAGATGCAAAAACAGTGGAAATATTTGAGTGGTGGAGCACCGTAGAGGGTGTAACGTATTTTTGGTCGTCCTCCTGGTGTAGAATACATATGTCTGGACTCATGAGAACTGCAAGGGGAGATAGGGAGTGAATAAGTACGCGCGTGGACAACCGCAGCACCAGCGGTGGCGGTGGCGGTGGCGGTGGTGCTAAACGACACTGTGAAGGCGAATATGTGTGCGGGTTCCGTTCTCCTTTCATGTCACTCTTTAATCCCATCGCATCGCCACCCATCAGTCTTTCCAATGACTGCGTGCGGTCGCTCTCACTGTATTGATATTGTTTGGTTGGTGACATCGCGATCGTGGTCGTGATTGTTGTTGTTGACGGTGTTGTGCTGAGGCGGTTTCACCTGTATGTGTGTGCACGTGTTTCCTCTGTGCGAGGAGATTGGGGAGAGAGCGGGATCTCTCTCACACTCTCTATCTCTATCTATCTATCTATTTCTCTCTCCAACGGGAGATGTGCGCCGCAAAAGACGCGCATGCATGCAGAATGCCTGTACCGCCTTGCACCACTGTTTCTTGAATCATTCCGATGACTCCCTTCCCCTCTTGTTTGCGTTGCAACTGGATGGCTCCTTCCTTGATCTCGCTTTTCTTGTTCTTTTTGCTTTTGTCTACCTCTCTCTCTCTCTCTCTCTCTCCCTCCAGCCCTCCCTCTGTGTGTGCGTGTATTTTTCGGGTGTGTGGTCTCCTCTCGTCTACTGCCTCACATGTCACTCTGTTTTTGCTGCTGCTTCCTGTTTGCTTCGTTTTGCTTCTGTGAACACGGCGCTGCAGGAGCACAAGTGCTTTAGCGGCTGCACGCCATGTCGACACAAGTCGGCGCTGTGGAGAGCAGCATAAGCGGCAACCCCTTCGACTTCCTCGCGCCGGGGGGCAATGAGCAGCAGCTGTGGGCGGAGGTGTACCTGAAGGAGTTCCCCGACGCCGCTGAGGTGGCGGAGATGACGATAGAGGAGCAGCGCGAGTTGTTGGCGGATCTGCGCGAAGAGGTGGAGCTGCTCGACGAGGAGGCAACGGTGCTTGCACGCCATGCCGAGATACTCGCGTCGCCGCGTGGCCCCGCCGCCGTTGTGACGTCCTCCCCCAGCACTAAGAAGTCCTTCTCCACATTTGTGCCAGTTGAGGCGCGACCGGGAGGAGGAGCGACACCGACAACGGCAGCGGTGCCAGCACGCGGGCCGGAGGAGAGTGTCGCGAGCGAATCCGCCGCCGCGATCAGTACCGAGGGAGGCGCGGAGAGCGTCATTGACTCCATATCCACCGGCACACGTCGTGGGCAGGCGTACAGCCGCAAGTCAGTGGACACCGGCGACGCGTACGTAAGTCTCGAGGACCGTGTGACGATGCTGACCAAGGAGCGTGACCGGTTGCGGCAGCAGAAGGACCGGGATGAGCGCGATGGCGAACACCTGCGTGAACTGTTAATTGCCACAGTGGAGGAGGCGGTGAGCCGCGGGAAAGAGCTGCGGCTGGAGGTGCTGCAGTTTAACCGCGAGGTGATTGACGAGCACAGCAACACCGCGTCCGCTGACGATCTGCTGCGCTACATGGAGAAGCGCCGCGACACGCAGGCCAAGTACCTAGACAAGCTAAGCGTGCAATGCGCGGCGGCGGAGCGTAGCATTCACCAGTCCCAGCAGCAGCTGCGCCAGCGCAACGCCGCAGGGGAGGCGTTCCACGCCATTGACTTCGAGCAACTGCGCATTGAAAACCAGCAGTTCAACGAGCGCATTGAGCGCAAGAACCTGGAACTGGTGGAGCTGAAGGGCACCTCCACCCGCACAGTGCAGACGCTGAACACGCTCATGGATGCCCTCAACGGCCTCACAACGGAGCAGAACCGGTTGCGGAAAGACTTCAAGAGCCGCTGCGAGTACCTGGCGCGGCTGCAGCGTGAGATGGTGTCCGTCGTTCACGAGGCGAATGTTTCGGAACGCAAGAACGCGACCATCAAGGCGCAGCATGAGGCGGTTCGTGTGCCGAAGATCGAGCACTACGTTGCGCAGAAGGCGGAGGAATACGAATTGCGGAAGGCAGAGCGCAACTGGAATCGCAAGGTGGAGATTGCGGAGGGGCAGCTGCACCTCGTGCAGCAGCAGATACGGGTGCTGGCAGCGGCAACAGACCCCGCGCGGCGACGCCATCGTCACGCTGCACACTACACAACCACAACCACAACCACAACCACACCGACCTCTGGCAAAACGGGCAATACGCGTGCTAGCGGCAATGCGTCGGTCTATGTAGACGGGGTGGGGCGAATTGAGGTGCAGGTGCAGAGCGCTCCTGTCGTGGGTGGCAGCAGAGCGCTGCTGAACATGAAGCGAAGCAGTTGATGCACGTACACGCAGTAGCAGACGAGTTGGGAGGCACAAATGTGTATCGATCTGTCTGTGGGTCTGGATGCGTGTTTGCTTCTGTACCTTGTTGCTGTTGGTGTAGAATGTTCCTCTCATGTTATGTACAGTGTGTACCCGACAGCAGCACAGCTTTCTTGTTTCTGGTTAGCTTTCAGGGAAAGAAAGAGAGAGAAAGAGAAAAGGGACAGATTGAGTGGATGGAGGAGGAAGGAAAGTGTTATCACATCTCATTCGATCTGCATTTTCTGTTGCTGGTACTATTGTTGTTTGGTGTCGTTTGCTGGTTGGGTTGAATGTTGTTTTGCCTGCAGTTGCGCGTGGGGCTTGGGGGAGGGGCTCGCGCTCCGGCTGCTGCCCCACACGTCGCGTCAAGATGTGCGGCATCTAGACTCACTTCTTTGCTTCTCCACTGCTCATCGGCCACACACACACACACACACACTTTAACACAATGGGAAATGCGGCCTTTTAGAGAAGAAACAGAATAACGGTCCCTGCGTCTGACGTACTTCACACAGAAGGCGTGGAGGAAATTAGGAGAGTGAGAAGACAGAAGGGTTCGTTGGCAGGAGGGTGGTAAGGCGGCAATAGGTGACGAAGTCATCATCACCTGTTTCTTTCTTCATTCTGTGTGCGTCTGCGCGTAGGCCCATGGTGCGGCGGTCAAGTACAGACTGCTCGCCAAGAACGCAGCTCACCAGTAGATGCATCGTTGCGGAGGACGATGATGAAAACAACAACAACAACACGAATGAGCTGGGTATCGTCGTCGCTGTCCGTATTCGTCCTTTTATACGCCAGGAGCAGGAGGGATTTCTACGGAGAAAGGCAGGCAATGACGTGGACGCACAAGAGCAGGAGCACCGAGAGGATCCTATTGTAGATGTTGAGACAGACGGCAAGACAATTGTGTTACTCGATCCTGTGAATCGAAGCGTCTCACGTGGAACCTTCACCTTTGAGCACATCTTCTCCCCCCTCGCCCCTAGCGTTGAGGTGGACATCTTCAGCAGCAGTAGCGATGACCTGGGGCTGCGTGAACCGGAACCGAAACGACAGAAGAAACTGAGGAGGAATCCGAATCAGAAGCAGCCACGGAGTGGAAAGCAGAATGAGTTTGTAGAAGAGAAGGACTCGCCAAAGGGATCCGCTCCCGCCGCCGCCGCCAGGAACGAGATAGAAATAGCGAACCTTGACGAGGACGCCAGAAAGGCAGAATTAGAGCAGCAAGGGTTATTCGAGGCTTTAGGCGTCCCCGTCGTGGAATGGTCGATGCGTGGTTTCAACGCTTGCATTTTTGCCTATGGACAGACAGGCAGCGGCAAGACATACACAATGATGGGCTCTGAAGAGCACGAAGGTATCATCCCGCGACTATGTCGCCTCTTCTTCAGTCGAATCTCTGAGCAGGCCGACACGGAGCAGCAGCGGCGACAGCAGCGGCAACAAATGAAGATGCAGTTACAGCAACAGCAGCAACGAGAGCCGAGTGATGAACCCTCCCCTCTGAGCCCCTACGGCCTGAGTGCCTGCTCCAAGAGTGATATTGGCAGTGGCTCCACACCTTCGCCACCCACATTATCGCCGGCTTCAAGCGCACCAACAACACCGAACGCGCGTCTGACGAAAGTGACCATTTCCTTCATGGAGATCTACAATGAGCGCGTACGGGACCTCCTGAAACCGGAGCGTGACCGGCGGAGTCCACTGCATTATAACAGCCGCTTCGACGCTGACCCTGCCGACGCGTACGAAGCGCTGAAAGTGCGACAGCACCCGCTGCACGGCCCGTTTGTTGAGGGGCTGACTACTGTGAGCGTGAACAGTTGTGAAGAGTGTTGGGAGTACATAAAACAGGGCAACGCAGTGCGCGCGCAGGCGAGCAACAGTATCAATGAGAACAGCAGCCGCTCGCACGCGATCTTTCAGATGATTGTTACTCAGACGGTCTCTATCGGTGGGCGGGTTCGCGGGAGAGAGGTGACAACGCATCGCATCTCCAAAGTTAACCTCGTCGATCTTGCGGGGAGTGAGCGCAACAGTAGCATGGGTCCAAGAGAGAAGAAGTTTGTCGAGGCGAACGCGATTAACTTGTCCCTCTCTGTCTTGCGCCGCGTCATTAACGCACTGGTGAACCACAGTAAGGTTGTGCCGTACCGTGAGAGTCTCTTGACATATGTGCTCTCTGATAATTTCGGTGGCAACTCACGCACCGTTATGTGCGCCACCATCTCGCCGCACGTCTCGAAATTTGCAGAGACGGAGTCAACACTGCGTTACGCCTCGCTGGCACGCGGTATCGTCAACCGTGTGAAGATCAACGAACACCCATTTGCCAAGGTCATTCGAGAGCTGAAGGAGCGTATGCGAGGCCTGCAGGAAGAGCTGCGGAGTCAGCCAACCAACGAACGCATCATTGTACTGGAAACCACGATGGAGGAGAACGCCCGCGCGCTCACTGAGTTGCGGCAGCGGGAGGAGGAGCTCATGACTGTTGTGCGGGAGAGCAAGCTGCGCGAGATGGCGCTTCTTGAGGATCTTCATAAGAAGCAAGAGAAGGAACATAAGTGGAAGAAGGAAGCAAAGCGGCAGCGGCACGAAAAGGAGAAACTCATTACCGCTCTCAAGGACCTCGCACAACAGAAACCCGAGTTGGTGGCGGAGGGCGTCATTAAGGTCCCAGTCAGCCTTGACGAGAAGGATAAGTCCCTGACATCCAGCACCTCGATACCATCAGTGCTGCAGTCGCAGCCGCGAGACACGGCACCAGAGCAGCAGCAACAGCAGCGGGATCCACCAAAAATGCCGAAGCTGCGGGAAACACCCTCTGCAGACCCCACGGATGCTGCATCACTGCCGCAGCCGCCATCAGAGTGGCGGTCGCCGCCTCTTCCGTCCCCCACCTGGGGCAGTGGTGGTGGAAAGAGACCGCCACGGGCGGCGGAGTGTGTTTCGGCCCGGCCGGTTCCCACAAGTCAATGCACTGCACCATCCCTCATCCGTCTTGCACGCGGCGGTGTCAGCGTGCAGCCACTGTCGCTGCAGGGCCTGAGGAGTGCCAGAGAAGGTGAGCACCAGCACATGATGCCAAGGTCTCTTCAGACCCCCACGCACTCCCCGCGTGACGCCCTGCGGCAGCTGAAGTATGGTTTAGAGAAGGGAGAAGAGAAGAGAGTGGATGCGCCATCGAATGGTACACCGTCGCCCCAGCTGTGCAGCGACGTAAAAGATGGTGCGGTTAGGCGCAAATCGCTTTCTCCACTGACGCCTCCTGTGGGGTCGGATGGGTTGCTGCAACCCAAGCCCATACTGACCAGGCAAAAGTCACAAGGTAGCGGCATTCATCTTCGAAATGGTGCGGTTGAAAAAAACTCCAATCGCGGCGGTCAGTGGGCACCTTTGCCTCTTGATGTCGTTAAGGGGCAACAGCTTGTCCCTCTGAAAAGACGTGGTGAAAAAAAAAAGAGCGTGCATCAGTGACCTGCGTATGAGGCCTCACATTGCTGCTGCTGTTGTTGTTGTTTACAGTAAATGACGAAAAAATGGGAGGAGAGGAGTTGCCAACCTCTCTTTGATGCTACGCAAGAGTTGTTACGGTATCTGGAATGGAACTGCAGTGGCAGCAGCTGTAGCAGCAAGGCTGGTGGGGGATGATGGGCAAGGTCATCGTGAGCAAGTAAAAGAAATTGTACAAGATGAATAGTATTTTTTTT